CAGTATAAAACAAAAGTTGTAAAAGGCCACCAGTACGCAGAAATCCATCTCAGGGAGAGAATGCAGAGCTGTAAGAGCTCCTGTTGGGCCGCCATCATCTCCCAAAGAGACACAGAGCCTGGAGGACAAACTGCGGCAAATGTCTTCATCTCCCCCTCCATCATCAGCCCGCCTTCCCCGTTATCATATAATTGTTTGTGATGTTAAAACGGGTGAGTCAGAGGGAGGAGTGACACCTCCTGCTGCTGCTGTGAGAAAGCAGAGTGGTGGCCTGCTGAGTGAGGCACAAATTGTTTCTTCCCCTTGTTTTCTTGGATTTATCTGATTTATTTCTCCTCTATGAAACCTGCTGCTTTCACTGTAGCCGTCTGCTCAGACTGATGTCTACCTGAGCAACAGGTGAACACAAAAGACTGAAACAATTCCTACATTCACATCAAAACAATAACAAACAAGGAAGTTTGATGAGGTGGTGAAGTAGCGTGGGATCATGGGAGTTGTTGTCTTCACCCGGTTAGGATTCCTTGAGTGGTCATGGTTCAGGAGGTTTCTACTGGCCACCTCTGGAAGTAGAAAGTAGTATTACGTAAATGGAAATAGTCGAGTAAAGTACCCTGAATTTGTACTCCTTTGTGATGACTCAACTTCTGCTGTGGATTTCACTGGTGCTCTGTCGGGACTCTTCGTACGGAGCAGCAACTTGGGGCGGGCACTCTGAGCCTTTCTTACTGACATTTTGAGGGACTAGACAGTCAGAAACTTCTGCCAGCACAAGAGAGAAACTGAGTTCAAAGAAGAAGTTTCAGGAGTCCATCAGCAGCTTTGATTCTTTTCATCAAATTGAACATGAATTTATAATCTGCAATGAATTCCATTCAGTTCATTCACTCCTCACTATGATCTGAACTGAGAGGTTTTTTTATTCTTTGCGGTGTGAAGCTCTTTACCGAGCTGGTGGCGCAGACTCTCTGTTGCTATGCAACTAAAGTGAAAGGCCGTTTGAAGTGTGACGCTCTGATTAAAGCTGAGATGTTTCTGAGTTTCTCTGCGAGAAGAAAAAACACAAGCTGGGCCGTCGACAGCTCTGAGCTGCAAACCAGGAGGCATCAACCACGTAGAGAATAAAGGTTTCAGATGAATCTTCTGGAGGGTTTGGCCTCTGATCCTACACAACACTGACCACCAAGATACATATGTGTCTCCCTTGTGGGTCTTTTTAAACTTGACTTGACTCTCTGAGCAAAAGAGTTCCTATATGTGCAAGCACAAATGGCAAATAAAGTTCTTGAATCTTGAATCTTGAATCTTGATACAGCAACCAAACAAAACTGGCATGACCATTTTTTTAAGGGGATTCCTTGACCTCTGACCTCAAGATATCTGAATACAGTTACTTTATGCTAATTCCATGTAGTTTTGGGCAAAAACTACGCAGTTTTTTGCATGTGGTATAAATGTGTTATTTTCGCCAACTGTATGTGAATAATTCTGCATACTGAGACGCATACTTCATTCCACCCTTGTATAAGTCAGTGCCCCTCTTGTGACACCTCAGTCAAAAAAGTCTATACGCTCTAACTGTACAAACACAGTAGGAGACTTAGTTTCAGTTAGTTTCCAGAGTAGGTTTGCTTGTCTTAGTTTAGTTTTTATTGGTTTTAATTTTAGTGTTCATAGTGATTTTTTTTAAACTTTAATATAGGGGGCTAATTCAGAATAAATATATTACAAAATTGTATATTAACAGTCACAACTTTATTTGTATAGTAAGACCTTGGAGACAGCGGCAAGGAAAAACTTCCTGTGCTGAAAGAATTGAAATCCTTTAGGACATACAGGACATTTGTTTAGATTGTTTAAGGTTGTGAAATTTGCAGCACTGACTAGATGGTGGCACTATTGACTACATGCTCCAATATATTTAGCCCATCTCTGTAGGCTGTCCCTGGTTTGATCACTTTAGCATGTATAGTGTGAGATTTTGATGAGTATATGTGACTCTCAATCAAAACAAATATTTAAGTAAAATATTTATATTTCAGTAATATAATAACCCGAATGACACCAATATGCTTTATGTCAAAATTTGAATTCTGTCTCTATGTGCAAAAATGTGTGAGTAGATTAAACAATTAGTTTCAAATTATTGGCTAATAAAAAAAAACTAACCTCTGTCCTGTATCCTTCCTGTTTTATATAACTTAGTATTATTGTCAAATCTTTATTAAAAGAAGAAAAAAGTCTGTTTTAAATGATTCATTATCATCATCAGGACACATGACTATGTAAAGCTGTGAATGTAAAGGTTAAAATGTAAACCTTGAGAAATACCACAGTTCAATTGTTAATCACAAGGTAGCCCCGCCCTAAAGCATACCCTGCTTTATGGTCTGTTTTACTCTAAATGGAACCATCAGTTACTAAATGAACATCATGCTGTATAGAAAAAGACTGAAACTAGAGACTGAGACCAGAAACTCATCAGGAAACTGTTTACTGAGCTCATAAATCAAATTCTCCATAAGACTCAATACTGTCAGAATGTCGCTGACCCCTTCAGGCTGTTAGAAACACTGCAGGTTTAAGACACTTGTGTTGGCTTCACTTCACAGACCCGGAAGCTCCATCCACTCATTATCTACGGCCAGTGTGAGAGACAGATAAGCACATGCAACCATTGATGACAGTAAAATGTGTTAGCGAACTCTCAGCATTGTTTTGTTATGGTGGCACTTTATTATCAAGCTCTGTGAAGGGGAAGATTTGATTCATTGAAAGCAGTAAACGGGTTATATTTCAGCAGCAAACATCTACAGTTTGACTCATTCTCACTTTCTGCCTTCTGAGCAGTAAGAAGTGGCATTGGTGGAGCGTCAAAATAATCCATTAAGTTTTTATCAGCCGTCTGTGTTTGTCATTAGGGGTGCACATCCGTAGCCTACTCCATTGCTACCCCCCAGCCCCAACCCTGGGCTGGTCCCAGCGGATAAGTCCAGGACTGAATTCCTTTTCCGAGCACACCTCTGGCAGTAAGTGAAGCTGGGAGTTGAAAGGAGGGCTGTGCTAATAAACCAAAGCCTCCATTGCACCTGCTGACCTGCTCACCAATTTAACAAGAGCAGAAGAGACGGTCGGTTCGGCTCAGAGAGGATGATTAACTCCCTCAGGAGGAGGAGGTAGTCAGGGGACAGTGGGTGGAGACGACAGAGGTTCAATCCCCACACTTCTCCATTATTCTTCTTTAAGCATCCTGCTAACATTAGCAGTCTGCTCCTCTTCAGTCTGGATGTGAGAATGACCCTGAAACATCACTGTGGAGGGTTCTGTGAGAAGCAGCTGATCTGATGATGGTTCAGTGGACAGAAGAGGGGACATCCCAACTTAACCCAATGTGTGAAAATATCTCCTGCAAAGATGTGTGTAAACCTCTTTGCAGATTCAAGCTTGTTAAACCTACAAAAATATAAAAAAAGAAATCAACCACAGGTAAGAGCGGCCCATCTGGGTTCTTTGGTCTGTGTTGAGACCCGCCCCCTTTTGGGTCTAATGTGACCCAATGCCATATTGCTTTTTAGCTATTAAATCATACAGCCAGCCAGTTAAACAATGATGTTACGTCATAATAGATCAACAATTGGTGCCGTTATATATAGAATAAGGTAATAGTGAATGATATGCGTCCTGACATACACAACTACCATATTATGTAATTATTAGGTTCATTATTAAAAGGTAGGTCAGCTCAGTTTATGGGAAATATGAAGGTTAAGATACCCTCTGCTCCACACTGATAAACTAAAGTCTATTCAAAAAGCAGCTGTTTTATGTTTCCACAGTAAAAACTTTATCTCCACCATCACTGAGACTGATTCTGTTCAATCTAAAGACACACGTGTCATTGACTGAGTAACATCATTAACTAACTTGTGATAAAGAGTTTGACACAGACGGACACACATTGACTGTCCGGGTCCCTCAGTTTAACATTTTAATCCTGAACACTCAGATCTTCTTTGACTTACTCTTTGGGGAAGTAAAGAAAGTCATAAACTGTGTTTTTAAGGCGGCGTGGTAGTTCTGAAGACAAGAAAGTGATGTATGCTTGCTGTATCTATTCTCATGTGCAGATGGAGAATCTTGGTTCAATTCTTTCCCATAATTTGTTTTAACAAAATGAGATTGATGACAAACTATGACTTACAAAGATCCCTTCAAAAATACACTAAACGTATTTTCTTATTCACGTTAAAGAATCCTATTTATATCTGAGGTATAAACAGTTAATATCCTAGTTTTTAGCGACAATTCCAGGAACAGAAAATATGTTATTTTAGTAAGATGGCATTTTCCATATTCTTGTATTCTTTTTAAAGTTTGGTTTATTCTCCACAAGCATTATGTCCTGTCTCACCCTTCCTTCAGTGCTCTTCCTGAGGCTTCCTCCATTTTCTTCCCATTAAAGGGTTTTTTTCCAAATCCAACTCAAGGGTTTTAGGAAGGTGTAGTACTGTCTGCTGTACAGATTGTGATATTGGGCTTTATAAACACAACTGAATTGACGTTTGTTGTGTGGTGTTGCACTTTACCCTTCCATCGACAGTACAACAGAATACCATGAATTGGGGATTGATATTTTTCCCAAATATGAGAAATATTTCTATCACAGGGGACATAAAGACACTATACAGGGAATCCCAGGAACTGCACTTGTTTTTAAAGTTTAACTTTAGCTGCGCATTCGCCAGCAACACTCAATGTTATTATATTTCTCGGGAAACCAGGAAATGGTTTTGATGGGCATTCCCAGGAATCCTGTTTCCTGTGATTAAACTCCCTCATGAATGTTGTTGATTACAATATTAAGAACTCTAGTATAACCTGGTTGGAAGTGGAAGTTGAAAAGCCTTTGACGTGACACTGAATAAATCTAAAATACCATTTAAAGTGCCTCCCACTGGTCTCCTCTCAACTATTTGACCTCTGACCTTTGTCTCCTCCAGGAAGGTGTTGAAGCAGATTCCTCTGGGCGACCTTCGGCCTGACGAGACAGTCCGAGCGACGCAGGAGGCCCATCTGCTGTCTCAGCTGCACCACCCGGCCATCCTCACCTTCTACCACAGCTTCCTGGAGGGAGACGCCTTCTGCATCGTCACAGAGTTCTGCCAGGTAACACCGGAGGCGGTTACAGTCCTGTAAACAGCGGGGACAAGATATTCATACTGATTTAACAACTCCCTAAAATAAAAAATGGAATCTACACATACTTACCGTGAAAAACAGCTCCCGGGGGTCACTCTGTAGCACCGAACGTGGATGGAGCAGTCGCATTCGCCGTGTTCATCTTACTTACTTATTTACTCAGTCTGTGCTGTTCAAAGCACCGAGGGACACAGCAAGCAAAGGATCTTTGGACTACTAGGAGGAGAAGGTTTTCAGGCCCAGGGACAAGGGAGAGCCAGTAGGGAATGCTGGCAGGGCATGGAGTCCTGATGAGCGGGATATGTAACTGAGCTCAGCAGCTTCTATGGACAGAGCTAATGTGGCTCGGAGAGCAACTGCCCTTTTTATACTTATTGCAAGAATGTCCATAATTTTACATTTATTTACATACAATGTTCAAACAGATAACACTGATAGCAAGCAATAAGCAATAATAAGGTATAACAGAAGAGTAATATAAAAGTAGAGTAGGTTAGTATAATGGTGCACACTTGGCATTGGCATACATGTACAGTCCATCTATACTTTTACATAGTTTTTCCCTTTTTGAGTTTAAGGCCTTAAGACTTCAAAGAAGAAAAGTAAATGTAAAGTAAATTGTCGAACAGAGCAATGACCAGGGAGAAGAAAACACTGAATTTATCACTGAAAGAAGCTTACTAAGTAACAATCTGTATGATTGTTAAAAAATATACTTATACATACACAATGGGACTGAACCTGGCAGGAAATGTACCACGGAACAACTAAACTGTAAACAGAGACTTCCTCTGCTCGGCTGATTCTTCTTACCTAATCATTCAGTTTTTTCTGCTCTGAGTATGAGACACACAGTAAACGAGAAAATGAAGCAATAATATGAAATCTCCCTTCCCCCTCCGTTTTCCTCTCTGTTTCCATCTTTTCATTATTTTTCTCTTTTCATCTCTGCAGTCTTGATTACAGCAGGTACTGCTCCGCTCTCCACTAATGAATCTCACGCTGCCTTCATCTCCGCTCTGTCGTTTTTCTCTCCCTCCCGTACACGTCATTTGGTGGCGATCCTCCCCCCCCTCGTTATCAGGCTGTCCTCCCTCCCTCTCAATGAGACATCGCCTGAAGGTTTAATTCCCCCTCTCCCTCTCGGAGGACTATTGCCACATTTCTCAGCTGGAAACTGTTTTTTTTATTGTTGTTGTTGTATTTGTACAAGCAGTTGGACACAAACAAAGGCGGGAAGCTTCTGCGGCTCTGAGCATTCATTCGCCACCAAAACACAGATTTTTTTTTATTGCTGCAGTTTGATATTTAAAAGAGTTTTGGTTAAAAGCAGTCTGCACACACACACACACACACACACACACACACACACACACACACACACACTGTTCAACTCTGTCCAATCAAAGAGCACATGCACTCAGAGACCCTCAGAGCTATTGTTTCTAGCCAGACCATTACCCACAATCCCCTGCAGAGCTGTGGAGGACTCAGGGGTTTCACTGCAGCCTATTAGAGAGAAAAAAAACTGCAGAAGAAATCGTGCCGGGTTATCAGAAAGACAACCTCCACAATCAAACAAAAATAGTAAAAATGAAAATGTGCGTTTTATTATGTCTGTGTTGTAGATTTTTAAACTTTATCAAAAAGTGCTTTTACAGAAAATACAAGAAGAAGAACACGCTGTATTTCAGCAATTACTGGACGTAATCGAGGCACAGGGGTGAAAGATGGACTGGAGTTCCTGCCAGCACTACTAAACCTTCATGTTGTTCTCCTCTTGCCCCCAGCTTCATACATCCCTAAACATACGCATTACATTTTGGTGTATGGTGCAGAAAGATATTAGAAACACTTGACATCATGTATAGCTGATGCTGGCTATTTAAACGGTTTACACTTAAATGTTGACAAAAATTTTAAAATCAGTAAAAACAGTTGGATGTGAAAAAACTGTGTGTGTGTTTAGGAGGTAAAGATGCCCATACACTGTTATAATGGCAGAGGTAAGCTGGTTCGACCTGCTGTCTGTGTAAACAGGTCTTCTGATTTTAAAGAGTGTAAGAGAATTTTATTGAAATACACAGTAGGCTCTCAGCATGTTGTTCATTTATGTGAAGAAATCTAAATTAGTTAATTAATTAATCTAAAATTAATAGTTATTTTTAAAGTTTAGATTATTATTTAAGATATAAACAGGATAAGGGCTGGTTGCAGTGTACAGTGATCTCAGATCAACAGCCTTGAATACAGACAGAGAATGTATCAAAATATCAGGAAAACTCATCTCTGATCAATATTCACAGGAAATAATCTGCTCAAAATGTATCCAAATTGTTTGTTTTACACAAACTTCTTGCAGTTATTGTGTTCACTGTCTCTCTCTCTCTCTCTCTTTCTTGTTCTCTCTCTCTCTCTGTCAGGATCGGGATCTGGACTGTAAACTAGAGGAGGTGCGACAAGCTGGGCGGAGCCTTCCCGAGCTCCAGGTCATTGATTGGCTCATCCAGCTGCTGCTCGGCCTTCACTACATGCATGACAGGTGGGGATACTGTCTCCATGGTAACCTGGATTTCTCCCCTTTCCTCCCCAAGTGCATGTTTTTTTTTTCTCTTTCCTTTCTGCTCTCTGTGCATATTCTACATTTTCAGGATAATTATGTTAAATAGCTTCATTAGCTACTTCGCAGGTCAAAGGTTGGCGAGTACATAGAGGTAGTGAACTGGAAGCTGACATACAGGTTCTGTAGCTCTACACATCACAGTATCCGTCATTAAAACAGTAATTAAATGAATCGATCAATAAACAATTGTTGATGTTAATGTCTTTTTGTCCCGTTTCTTTGACTGCTGTGCTGTTCTCTGCAGGCGAATCCTCCACCGAGATCTGAAGGCCAAGAATGTCTTCCTGAAACGAAACCTTGTTAAAATCGGTGAGTTTCCTTCTCTGCTGCAAAGGCTCATGGGACATGGGAAATCTTACTGTGTGTTTATGTGTTGGATGTGGGTTTGTTTCTCTCATGCTGCTTTCAACGATTCCCTCTCACTTACGACAACAAAAACTACCTAAATAGAAATGTGCCTCCAGCTAATCATTGTGCAAATATAATATTTCCATTTATGTCATTTTGCAGGAAACATGCCCCCAAAAAGGGGTTTTACGTCCCCTGAGAGCACCGAATTGGGGAGGCTCATTATCCTCTTGTGATCGTCCAAAGTAATGGACAAACAGGAGATAACTGTGGGAAAAAGTAGCAGGCAACATCCTGAAGGCTCCACGTGGCTCCTGGGACATACCTTTAAAAGTGTATTGCTGCAGTTAGGCTTGGGGACGCTGGGGCACACTGAATCTTAGGATTAGTTGGGTCGAGGAGGATCCACACGATAATATTCACCAGCCTTGACCTAAGGACAGTTAATGAAGGAAGGCATGAGGATCTAAGGCTACGACACAGCGCAGGAAGTTCTATAATGTAACTGGGGGCTAGACCATGTCTTAACATGACTGCTGAACAGAGCTGGTAATCAATGAAGTGAGGCGGGAATTGGATGGATATGTAACCTACGATTGGTGTTGGTTAAAATTCAGCCTGCTGCATTCTGCACAAGCTGAAGCCGAGCCATTGAGAATTTACTGAGGCATGTAAACAGTTAATAACATGTGATTCCTAGATTTCTGGCTAAAGGTTTAGAGTTAGGGTTATTTTGATGTTTTATATCGGTTGCCAGTGGACCAATAAACAGTTGTAGTTTGCTTGCTAGGTGATCTGTCTTGTCTGAGTTTATCTCCAGAAAGTTAGATGTAATCCATTTCTCAGTAGCAGTTAAGCACTCCATTAAGTTGCTCAGACAGCTAACATTATCTGGCTGGAAGGACAAGTAGATTTGTGTATCATCAGCGTAGCAGTGGATCCTGCAAGCTCAGGCAAAGGCCACATTTGAAGGAGCCTTCGGAATGGGAAAGCTAGGGATGTCACAATCAAGATTTATGTCCCTTGATCCGATCTGAGTCATTTAGTATCCTGATTTTCTTTTCCTTGATAAAATTCAGTGTACACTTCAAGTACATTAAAGTTATTCAATCAATCAAATGCATATTATGCCAATTAAATATCTGCATTGCATTAAGAAAGAAATGTCTGAAATTAATTGAAAGATTGAAAGACAAGAACAAAATATTTTTGGACATTATTTGAACTACGTAAATGTTTTAGTTTTGAAGATATGCTAATTTTTACTGGCTTGAGTGCACAGCATTATGATGGTAACGATAGAAGCCTTAGTTTCTGCTGCAAAAAGAATGAATGCTCTGGATATTATAGTTTTTATTTTAGATTGATTTAAACATGATGGTGCTAAAACTGGCCTCCGTTTTAGGTCTTAAGTACAGTACTTTCCACAACTGCTTGTGGTAAATATCTTAACAACAACAACAACAACCTGTCAGGTCTCTGTTAAATGATCCCGTCTCCACCCTCCATGACCTTCCCTGAGGCTGTTGTTCGTCGTCTGTTTTCAGGTGACTTTGGTGTTTCCTGCCTGCTGATGGGATCATGTGATCTGGCCACAACCTTCACAGGGACTCCATACTACATGAGCCCAGAGGTGCTGAACCACCAGGGCTACGACTCCAAGTCTGACATCTGGTAAACTTTACTGAAGGGTTTCATTCTGTATTTGTCTTCTTGTCAAGAAACCTCATGAAAACCAACAATGTGTTTCTGTGTCTCTGTGGTTTCTGACTGACACAGTTCTGAAGAACCAGCACAGCTTTGCTTTCCTCTGATGTGATTGGTTAGCAGCTGGAGGCTGAACAGGTGCACCATGGGATGGATGAATAGACTCCTGCAGGTGGAGAGCAGGAATTCATTTCATTTTTGTTGCTGCTGGAAGGAAAACAAATACCTTCTGTAATCCGTTGGCCAGTCTGAGTCTCTCTTTTACTGTCCTGCAGCGGAGGATTCGCTGGTTGGACAGAAATGTGAATCTGCCTGCAGATGTCTTGGGCAACAGTATTCCAGAGATTGAGGCCGTGGCTGCAGAGGATTGCTCCACTTTAGGGTTGAATTTGGGGCAAAGCTGACAGAAAAAAGAGTTCTTGTGCTTTCTCGTCTCGCAGGTTCTTGTCGATCCTGGTGGAGCCTCCTGCCATGGTCCTGCTAGATTGCCATTGCCAATACTGTTGTTGCTGTGCACCTGTCTGTCTGTCTCTCGCTCTCGCTCTCTCTCTGTCTCTCTCTGTCTCTCTCTCTCTCACCCCAACTGGTCGAGACAGACGACCACCCACCTAGAGCCGGAGGATCTGTCCTAGGTTTCTGCCTTTTAACAGGCAGTTTTTCCTTGCCCTTGTCGCCAAGTGCTTGCTCATGGTGGTACTGTTGGGTCTCTGTAATTAATGTTATAAAGAGTTCGGTCTAGACCTGCTCTATTTGAAAAGTGTCCTGAGATAACTTCTGTTATGAATTGGCGCTATACAAATAAAATTGAATTGAATTGAATTGAAAAAATGATTTATAGCTGTACGTCTGCTCTATGCCAGTGGTTCCCAACATTTGGCTTTAAGGGACCCCTTTTCTATTATTGAGTACACTGATGACTCCTGATTAAGTGACACATTTTATAGTATATTGAAAACTGTACAATGAACCCAAACAGTGAACCCAGTAACTGCAAGAAGTTTGTGTAAAACGAGTCATTTGGATTCATTTTGAGCAGATTACTTTTATACAATTTCTGTCTGTATTTTTATAATGTTTAACAATCATTCAGACTTCATAGGCTTCTTTTTTTTTGGACAGATTTAGGGTTTTCTTGTCACTGACACTGGGCCATTGTTCTATTAGACATTTTTTTCTTCACAGAAATGAACCAAATGCTGAGAAGGCCTAATGTGTTTATTTTTTAAGTTTTAAAATCAAGACGGCCTTGTGACCCTTATTGAAGGTTTGGCGACCCCTAGTGGCTGGGAACCACTAACCATTAAGAGCATGCTCTGCATAAAGCTGCTTAGCAAAAACGCTGGTGGGGGCTCTATGAGCGCTCTATGGAACTGTTTTTTTAAACCATGGCGACTTAAACAGAAACCCTTCGTTTTCCCACCCGGCGCCCACGAAACGAAAGAAAGACAGAATACGAGGGGGCAGACAAGAGCATGTCATACAAACTAACATTTTGTTGCTGCTTCACAAGACAATCTCCTGAATATTTGTCAGAGTGAGATTTATTTATGAGGCGCTGTCTTCACTCAGATCCTTTAAGTGCTTTATAGACAGACTCCAGTGTCTTCGCCTCAAAAGTGCGAGAAACACAGCCTAAACTCCGGCAGGTGAAAAAAAATATTCCCAGCAAAGAAGCTGGTCGAACAGAGCCGAGGGGTCAGAGGTCATTTTAATCCAGCTTCTTAATGAGGCAAGAGTCCACCTTTGTAAACACACAACGTTAACACACACACACAGAGTGCTGACAGCAGTCGGAGGTCAGTCGTTGTAATTACTGAAGGAGGAGGATGATGAGGAGGCAATTAGCAGCAGAAAGTGATGAAGGCTGAAACTCAACACATTCTAGCACAGAAGTCTGATGTGGATCAAGTCAGTAATCTTTGACATGCTCCTTCCTCAGGATGTAATCTTGCAGGTAGCCAATAAGAGAGCAAGGGGGCGGGGCCTGAGGGCAGCAGTGGTTTCAAAAAAGGGCACTTTTCCTTTGCAGCTCTTATAACTGAGATTAATAATGATTAAAACTACTTCAAGTTCCAAATGTAGATTCTGAAGCAGTTTGTGTCTCAGTGTGTGTGAACAGTGGGTGAACAGGTTGTAGTGTAGCTTTGTTCCTCTGCTGCCTGTGGACTGATTTCTATGTGTTTCTATGTACGGATGAGGGTCAAAGGATGTGACCTTTATGCTCCTGAGTGCCTTCTCTCTCCGCTTCCCTACAGTGCCAACAGTGTGCAACACTAGATAACGTTAGCTTATAAATGAGTCCGCTAACACAGAGTGTAGACACAGATAAGAATATAGGAACACTGCAGATGGTAACGTTATTCTAAATATGATTGTCATGTATTTTCCAGGGTTCAGTCTAGTGTTTGCCACTTTTGGCAGATGCCCAGGTTGATGCTTGCTCATACCTTCGAGCTGTGTACAGAGTCTCCTTCTTATCTAACTTACAAACATGAACACACGTCTTGTTCTACAACAACTGACCAAACTGTTCCTATGCTCTCTCATTCTCTATGGTTGCATTTCCATCCCTACGCCTATTGTCTCCTCCAGCTAATGAGGGAATTTTAAAGCTGCAACCTCAGCAAATGAAGCCAACACGTACCAAAGTCCACTTGAGGCTGGCTCCAGCAGTGAGTCAATCTCAATCTCAATTAGGCTCCATATTAAAATGTAATGTTTACAGCCTTTTGGTCTCTAGAGCTCATTTCAAGACAACTGTATTTCTTATAAAAAATCACTCCTTAAATTATATTAAGACTTTTTTAATGAATAAAGCTGCCTAATGGAAACACAGAGACAGAACCAGACTGAAAATATTCGTCAAAAACAAAAAGTAGGAGATAAAAAGCTCAGTAATTGGTGATAATTCTCTACTGCTTCATCCCCATCAGTGACATCTTTTACATACATATTTTTTTTCCTGTTTCTAACATGTATTATAGCAGATTTAAATAGTGTTTGTTAATTTATATGAACACTGCAGCCTCCAGGGGGCGCTTTTATTTTCGAGTTGATAATCTTGAACTCTGATATTTGTCTTCAGTTTGTAGCCGACCCTGTTAGTACCTTAGTACGGTAATTTGTAGATACAGGTTATTAGTGTAGATCAGTAATTACTAATAAACTGACAGATGCATGTTAAAGTATTAATAATGAGAGAGATGTAGTTAATTAGTAATTACTAAATGATGGATGTATTGTTCATGTAGATAATTAGTAAAGAACAGGAAGCAGTGCTGCAGGTTCACTAACTGTTACTGAGGTGATGGATGTTGTTCTGTTGGTTGTAAGTAAGCTAATAAACAGACGGAGGTAATTAGAGAGGAGGCGGCAGAAAGTGAAGCAGGTCGTTAATTAACTAAACCAACAGAGTGAAGACAGAGAACAGAGAGGAGGATTGAACGGAGAAACAAAGAAGAGAAAAACTGCCTTTGTAATGTTTTTCTTCACTGAAACATCTGAACCATTTTTCCCTTGGATCCAGACCTCCTTATGGCTCTGTCATTGGTCAGTGAGTCAAACAGGACTTGGATAACCGAGTTATTCAGATTACAATATTGACCAGACACCTCCCCTTAGAGACGTTGGTAGATTGTTGTTGTCGTTTCAGACCCAGTCATCATTGATTTTAAACAGTTTGAACCAGCTGATGTTCTGGTGTTTGTGCTGTGCTGCAGGGCTCTGGGCTGCCTCCTCTACGAGATGTGCTCCCTGACTCACGCCTTCCAGGGTCCAAACTTCCTGTCTGTGGTGATGAAGATCGTGGAGGGAGAAACCCCGACACTGCCCTCTGGATACTCTCAGGAGCTGAACTCTGTCATGCAGAGGTGAGGAGGAGACAACACCGACTTCACTGTGAAGTCACTGAGGGTTTGTCTTCTCTTAGTCAGACAACTCACAAAGAAGTGATTCATTAATATGCAAATAAGAAAGAAAATATCAGCAAATCCTGAGTTGAACACAGAGGAGAAAAGGCAGCGATGATAGTAAACTTCTCCTGGGAGGAAGTTGAGTGAACAGAAGCTGAATCAAGTGTGTAGTGTCAGATTCTTTACTGCCACTGGGTCGGATTCCTCTTGAAATCAATGAAATGAGGCTGTGAACTGGGTTTTTATATTTCTCATTAAACAAACTTGATGCAACATGTTAATCAGGTGGCTTTAAAAGGTGTTTGTGGGCATACTTTTGAAGTGTAGAGAGAGCTAGTTTCCCCATATATGTGAACATCTGAACATCTCACTCAGAGAGAAAGACAATACAAAGTTGGAACTGTTCCCGATCACTGATCTGTGGTGTTTCGTCTCTCTTTGAAACAGGATGCTGCAGAAACAGCCGTCATCCAGGCCGTCTGCCGCAGAGCTTCTCAAGACCAAGTTCATGGAGGACAACATGAAGGTTGGACAATTTAAACACATAAATACTGTTTGTACACTGAGCATTTCTTTGGCTTTTGCTCCGGACCCGAACCGATGCCTGCCCCCAGCTGCTTGGTGTTTATAGTTTTTCCAACCCAGTTTAAATAAAATCCAACGAAAGCCTGGACGACATGTCAGCTACAGTAAGTTGGAAACTAGTGACGGGGGTCTGAGTTGAAAGACAGTTTGCTTAGAGACTTTATTGTGTCTGGTTGTGTCTGTGTTCTTCTTGCATTTGGTTTGTACCATCAACATATAAAAGGTGGCCGTCTCCACTTCCTCCCACTGCACAGAAATGAAGCCAGAATATCCAGATACTCCCGCTGCCATCTTTCTAATTCGTTGCTCTCTTCCATTTTAGGCCATTCTTATCACGCTGATGTTTGTGTGCTGAAGTGTTCATTTTTATTATCATCATCAGTTTGGTTTCAATTAGTTATCTGAAAACATAAAAGGGGGGTTTCACGTCATTATTGACAGCTGAGTCCTGCTCGCAATGGAGTCACCCGGACGTATGGACCTTGATACTGACCCTGATCACTACTGCACAGACTCTGGTCCTGAAGTGGGAGGAAGTGGAGATGTTCATCTTTTATATGTCGATGGGTGGCACTGATATAGTGGATTCTGAGCTGTAGTTTCCCCTTTGGCTGTCTGTGTAGACAGACAGACAGACAGACAGACAGACAGACAGACAGACAGATAGATAGATAGATTTCAGTTTGCAGAAGTCAGAGAGTCCCTGTTGGCAGCGTTTGTGAATTTCAGTGGTCAATGGTGGCAGGACACTCAGTACTTGGAAAACCCATAAAGCCAGGAATACTTGGTTTCAGCAGCGGCACAGTGTGAAGCAGACCATTCAGCAGTTACTGGTCCAGGTCCGGAGGTAAGTCAGGGACCATCCTGCCGAAGAACAAGCTGGTGAAGTGCTCTGTGTGTGTTTAGTAACAGCCTAACCGCCCCGTGGACACCCAGAAAGGAGCAGGACCAACAAATTATCATAACATAACACTTGATTTATTCCTTTTTAAAACAAAAAATTGTATATGTTTAATCAATGGCAGGTGGCGCTATGTGGAATACTACATGAAAAAATTTACTTGTGGAGGCTTGGAGGCTGACCCATCACACACATACAAACACATACACATACACATAGCCTATTACCCAGTAAACCAAGGTATGAAATTACTCACATTCATTCATTTTCTCTCATTCTCACTCACATAGTAACAGATAAGGTGTGTTGTGTGTGTGTGTGTGTGTGTGTGTGTGTGTGTGTCAGCAGGATATTATTGTCATACAGTTTGCCATAAATCACAGCTGCAGGCTGGATGCTCCTCCTGTGTGGATACACAGGGCACCTGAAGAGAGATAACACATTTATGGACTTGGTTGCCATGGTTTCCACTGAAATATCGTTATGCTGATGGGATTCATTACTGCACCGTGGCACTCTGGGATATCATAGCAAAGACACAGCTGAGGATCTTCAGCTTAGAACAAACACGTAGAAACCGAAACTCAGTGAGAGCAGAGAGACTGTTTATAGGTTTAATGTCTCCAAAGAGAATTTCATGTTTTTAATGTTTGTATTTTATTGTATAGCTTCAAAGTTCTGTGCACATTGATATTGGTGAAAGTCTATTTGAAAACACTGACTAGTTACATTAAATCTACAAATGGAGATACACTTTCAGAAAAGTAAAAGTAAATAATTACAGCACAGTAAAATGTTCCCTGCGGTGTTTTATTATTATATCTAATGTTATTGGATTACTGCTCCATTAATGTGTATGTTGCATTTCACTGAAAAACAGCCCTGTTTTCAGCTTTTGATGATGCAGCTAATCCCAGAGAGATTTTAAATAGTTTATTTGGCTTAAGAAGGAGAATTTTCTCAACCCATAAAAGAGCACTTCATAAATATGCAACTTCCCGTTAGACTTTCAAAATAAATCTTGCATGCATAACTTTGTGGAACATTTGGTTAGGTTCAGGAAAAGTAAAACATACGTACCTCTATCCCCCTCTCTTCAAAAATATATCATAATCCAGCCCGCAAAAGATTATTTGTTTAAATGATTTTTCTAGTTTGATATAATTTTAAACTACCCTTCATATACAATTAAAATAAAAACATAATTCTCACACATTGTTAACTTTAGTCTTCATTTTCCTTATTATTCTTGTTCTTCTTCCGTACGTCTTTTGGACTGCTGTGATGTTTTTCAGATTGAAACATAACTCAAATTTTCACATGTAAAGCCTTTTAGTGTCATTCCAGCTATTACTTTTCTCTTTGCTCCACAGTAACACTAAGTAATAGATACAGGACAGAAGTCAGTGCTGTATCCAGCCAATAGGTCAGTGCTGTAGATGGAGGTCAGGTGACTGTACTGTCTATTTGATTCATATATTAGAAACAATAATGATATTATTAATATATTTTATAAGTTTTAGTGAAGTCCAATAATAAAGATGTGACAGTAATACTAAGTTACAGAGGACAGGAAGGACACAGGACTGAGGTAAATGCTGTAGATACAGGGCAGACGTCAGTGTTATAGATAGAGGGCAGATGTCCGTGCTTTAGATCCAGTGCAGGTGTCCGTGCTGTAGATACAGGGCAGCAGTCAGTGCTGTAGATACAGGGCAGAGATCTACACTGTCTATTTGATTCATATAATAGTGCCAATAATGATATAACTAATATTTCAGTAATTTGACATTAATTGTTTGCTGCACACATCTAATCAAACCTTTTTCACAGATTAAGACACAATTTAATTTTCACATATAAAGTTTATCAGTGTCATTCTGGTTATAATCTTTTTGATATCTGTTACAGTTTTTGAGATTTGTTTTGAATGGTCGTTAATGGGAGTTACATATACTCCTCATGCATGTTCTACTTTGATTAGCTTGGCTTTGAGACCCCTGGTTCTGAGGATTAGTCAGTTATGTCATTAAGTAACTGTAACTCTGTTTTTCCAGAACATGAAGGACAGGTTTGTCTTTGTGTCGTCAGACGGAAAGAAAGACGCAGAACTCATCGCCAAGAACATGTGAGACTTAACTTCCTGTTTCTCTGTTTTATCTTCTGGCCCCCCCTCCTTTTCTCCTCCTCCTCCTTCCTTTCTCTTTTTTCTCCTCTGTTTTTTCTCTCTTTTCTTCCCCCTTTCTTCATCACTTCCTGCTTGCATTGTCCTCTTCTTATTCAACCTCCCTTCCTCCACCTTTATTTCTCTTGCCCTCTTCTTATTCTTCCCTCTCTTCCTCTTCTTCCTCATGTTTTCTCCCCATCTCTCAGTTTACTCTCATTTTCCTTTCCTTCTATCTTCTATTTTTCTTTATCTTTCTTCTTCTCCTCACCTCCCTTCTTCATCTTTGTCTTCTTACTTTCTCCCTCCTCTTCGTTATGCCTCAGCTCTCTCGAACACACACACACACACAACACACACACACACACACACACACACACACACACACACACACACACACACACACACTCTCTTCAGTGAGTAGCTGCTATAATTAGAACAGCGAGCGGCGAGCTGTGTTCAAGTGTTAACCAGCTCTGTCACAGACACACACACACACTTACACACACCTACACACACACACACACACACACACACACACACACACACACACACACACACACACATAAAGTAATAAATATTTTTGTGAAGAATAAAACACTGGAGGCAAAATTAGAAAAATATGAAAACTAAGAAAAGCATATACCAAATAAACAAAGTACTAACACAGTATAGAAATAAAAAAGGGATAAAATGAAATAAAAAAACAAACAAATAAATAAGAAACTAAAAATCAATTAAAAGCCAGACTAAAAAGGTAAGTCTTGAGTTTAAAGTTATCCACTGTGTACTGCCCTCAGGTCCTCAGGAAGGGTCCAATGAGGACCATAGTGATCTGTGGGTCTTGGTTCTGGCTTTAGGGATGATTAAAAGGCCACTACCTGAAGACCTGAAGGCTCTAGAGGGTTCAGTGTAAATCTGACAAATAAGTAGGACTAAGACCATTAAGAGCTTTATTAAACCACTGCAGTAAGTAAAGAAACAGCTTATACACTAATGAAAACATACCTCTGATTATTAGATTACATTTCTGACAAAAGATCCTCCTCAATGTTACATATCAGACCTTTAAATCTATGATCTGTAAACAGTCTATAAACTCTACAGCTATGTTCTATTTGTAGTTGATTCAATTAATAATCTATAATTAATGGCGTCATATCCCCTTTGTGCCTGCGTCAGCGTTGTGGTTGTCTGCCAGAAGCTGTCATACATTGACTGTTGATCCAGTCTGAAGCCACATTGTTACCATCCACTGTTTAGATCTTGGTGCTTTTTAACTCTAGATTTGAACCGGATGAAGGATTTTAGTCATCGGACGTCTGGATCTTAAGTTATCAGAGAAACAAGCTGAGCTAACGTTAGCAGCAGCTCGGCTCGCAGCCCCTCCGGGACGTCCTTTGTCTGTCCAACAGCGTGGGAGAAGCAGTGATTGTTAAGGTGGAACTGCTTTATTCAGTGTGTTTAAGGTGGAACTGCTTTATTCAGTGTGTTTAGTGGTTTTAATCAGCGGGTCTGGAGGAGAATGCAGTGATGTGATAGGACAGTTCCAGATGATGGATAGGTGTGTGTGTGTGGTTGTCTGCAGGCAGACGAAGGTTCACCTGCAGACGCTGATGGAGAAGTCAGAGGTGGAGAAGATGACGCCAAGAGAGAGAATGAGGCTCCGCAAACTGCAGGCTGCCGACGAGAAGGCCAGGAGACTCAGGTAACACACACACACACACACACACACACACACACACACACACACACACACACACATACACACACACACAGACTCTGACCACATCTGGAATTCATAGTCCAAACAAATGGGGGGCAGCATTTTACCAGAGTAACCACTAACTGTAGCTGACGTTAGCAGAGTCAGCTCAGTTAGCCGTGCAGCTAGTGGTCCTAGTAGCTGACTCTGCCCGGACTGGGAGCTCGGAGCACCGGTGGAGTGTTTACACCGCTAGCACAGGAGCTTTTGGTCTCCAGGAGAAGGTCCAGGGATGGGGGAACCACTGGATACAGCGTTGGAGGCGGCGCTCCGTTCATTCTTATGAAAGCTGCTCAGTGGCGCATGAAGCACAAAAAGCCTGTTGCAAAGAAATTACTTGGATGAATGTGGAGACCATCTCCAGCTAACTTCCTCTTTAATTGTGCGGATCTTCTAGACTTTCAAAATATTATCGGACTGAACGGATCAAATTCTGATTGTGAAACGAGTTCTAATGCTTGAAAAACTTCACATAAGGTTTTATAGTTGCTTCTTTCAGAATGTGCTCTTATGGAAAAAAGTAATTTTGGGCCAGTTTGCATCATCGCTGTAATTCCACTGTCTGGCCACTATGTCAAACTGGCTTCAAAGCCCGGCGCTCTTCTTGGAGTCTTGGCCAGAATAGGAACCAGAGACAGGCAAGCCTCCCCGTGCACACCGGACCGGGACCAGACACAGGAGGCCGACAGGGAATACAGTACAGCACAGCTCTCCAGTGGCTTCAACCAGGACTCTGGGTTGACATGAGCGTGTATCCGTCTCTGCAGGAAACTGGCTGAGGAGAAATATGAGGAGATCCACACCCGCAGGAGGGAACTGAGGAGCCGGCATTTTGAAAAAGTCAGCCTGGATGTTCTGAATGTAAGAAAAGATTAATTATGTGTATTTAACTACAGTTATTGAATTAACCTCCCTGACCACAAACTGCCTCTGTTCGAGGATTCATGTTTAATTAATTAATCCTCTTAGCAGTTAATTAGCTAATAGCCTCCTGAAACCGTCTCTGAATTTGTCAGTTTTGAAGAAGGTTCTCGTGGCTTTCACTTAAGAGTTGATTGGCTCTTTTTGTCCAAACAACAGGAGAGCAGAGAGGGCGGAGACTGTCAGAGTCGACCAATCAGCGTCCAGGATCACCGTTTGCCAAGTGGGTCGCAGCCAATCTGGGAGCAGGATGAAGGAAAGACGTCTGAGTCCGGACTGCAAGGTGAGAAACAATATTACATTTCATACGGAAACTGTCGTCACTTCATTGTAGTTTAGTTTTAATATCATCATAAGGAATGCACATGTGATTATTGTTTGAGTGAATCTGATGAATTAAATCCTGAAGCACACTGTAAAATACAGTATCTCATCAACCGGATTTGATAAACTCTGATAAGTTTCCATCAGTTTGCAGAGATGATTTGTGTTTGTGATGTTTCCCGCCACGCTCTCTGTCACTTAAGTTCCTGGAGTAAACAGAGCAGCCAGCAAGCTAAAAACTAATGAAATCCACAGCTGATCTGTAGCAGAAAAGCTCTCCGGAGAATTTTTCCACATTCAAGCAACTTAATCATGTGTTTATCTAGAAAATCCCCCAGGATCCGCCGGGTATTAAAAAAGGCCATAAACCATAAATCTCATTAAAATTAGTGTCAGTTCTGACAGATGGTTCGGATGAGAGGAAGAACTTATATTTCTTTCTGTGTCGTTCTTTAATCCGTCATCCCACCTGGTGGTAGAAATAAGTTTATTTCAAGGGTGGACCCCATTTAAATACCTCTCTGTGTAGCACAATGCAAGTTTTCTTTGGTTTCCAGTAGTATTCTGGCAGTACGCGGTTGTGGGGAGGAGGGTCGGTGTGGATGTGCAGGGGCAGGAAGCTTTGAGAAGACATGAAAAGATGGTAGAAAGATACAAATTCTTTGTCCACAGGTAACACGTCTGTCAAGGAGAACGACGGCATCTGTGGTTTGTTCAGAGGTTTAACAGACAAAGACGTCAGGAGCAAAGTTGGAAGTATTAGTTATAAGTTAAAACAATATTCAGATCTTTTTTGTAAGTACTAATAACACACTGGAAAAATTACTAAGTAAGCTTATTATAAAACCTGCCAGCTGTCCCCAGACTTTTTTCACTGGGGAGGCACAAGAGGGGCACTGACTTCTTTAACAGAATAAAACTCATTAAAACCGTCTCTGTTAGTGTTTCCAACAATCACCAACTCTAGTTTGGTGGAAATAAATCCTTAATTCACCGACATAGATGTGAAAATATCTTGTAGGAAGCTTGTATTTTTATAGTGTGGTATTAGTACTTTTACTAAAGTGAAGGATCTGAATACCTCTTCCACTGCTGGCTAAGATTTCAGTTTCTTCTCTTAGTATCATGTCTGATGTACAAAAAAGTATTTGATGTGTTTCTCTGGGAGTTGCCTGGAACCTTGGAGACTCCTGGAGTTCCCTGGAGGCCTCTTAAAATCCCTCTCACCCGTTTGGGAACCACTGATCTGAGATCTGACCGGCCAGATTAAGAAATGAATCGTTTGAAGTTTGTTGAGTCCAAGTGAGACGTTAAAATTTGTGTGAAACTCTCAGCTGGAGATCAGAAGGGAGCCAGATGCTCCAGCAGGGAATTCAGAAAGAAAAACCCTTTGTGTACTAAATCTGCTTTTTGACTGAAAACAGCTACACTTGTTATTTTTTGCTGTGCATACAGATGAGCCTCAAGAGTCTTTACACAGAAACACAAAGAAACAAAGCCAGAATTAATTTCATGTTTTCATATTTTTGAAAAAAGGTCGGTCTATTCTCTTTCCTCCAGAAGTCAGAACAATTTAACGTTCATTTAGTATTCATGTTTCCCCTCACAGTGGGACTGAGCCAAACAGACAGCGAACAGGTGAGTTCAGATCCAAGTTCGTCTGTGATCAATTCAGACAGTAACAGTGACTAGCTCTTTTAGCTCATTACTGCGTTTATAGAGGTCCGATTGCATCAAACCGCTCAGGGACACATGACGAAACCAGAGTGGAGATTTTCTCTCCTCCTGCTGCTCAAAGACAAAATAAAAACTCATGTCATCATGCAAGGAATGGTTTTCAGAGGATTTCATTTCACGTTTCTCACACACAAAACACACTCTCGTGTTTGTGCTCCTGTCTTTGTGAGGACCCTCATCAAATGACTTCCTGTTTCATGGCGAAACATTGCCACAGGACACGGTGTTCAACGCAAACTCAATCTGTTGATGGTCTTCAGATTAATTGCCTTAAAGGATTTTGTTAACATACAACGCATGGAAAAATGTTCCAACTTTTAAAGGTCTTATATGAGATAATAAACATTATATTCTTGATATAAAGATACAGTGGCGTCATGGTGTCTCACGTCCTCTGCCTGTGTTGTATCGCAGCCTCTCTGTGGTTTGTTTCCACAGCCGGTCCACTCTGACTGAAACTGCTGTTTTTATCATCTACGTCGGTGATTTATTTCCACCAAACCAGAGTTGGTGATTGTTGGAAACATTAACAGAGCGATTTTAATGAGTTTTATTCTGTTTCTGTCCACCTTGAAGTGTGTTTTACAATTATCTGTGGGGTAAAATCACTGGTGTTGTCAGTGGAGTCTGGTCAGTAGTGTATTATTGTTTTGGTCTGAGATCCTGGTGAAAGGGGTCATAAGTGAATTTTGTATAAAATTGTCCTCACTTTGCACAAATGTTGTTACTTTAAACAGATTAAACAGAAGGACACATTTTGGACTTTAAAACCACCTGCTGCTAATTTCCTTAAAAAGCTTCTTTATACTTTATTTATATGTATCATTAAATCCTTTGAAAACACATAATCTGTAGGAGTTTGTCCACAGAGAGCCAGTAGGTCGAATAACAAACTTTATTGAGCTTTATTTTGGTGCCAGCCTTTCATCAGAGGAGACACAACAGGCAGCTTCTTATTTTAGCTTTCTGCTGCTCACACTGTTTTCATCTTCCAGAAGCTCATTAAAGGGTCTAAGAGCTCCGACACAACCCCGAGCCAACAGACAGGAAGCTCCTCGGAGACGCAGACGCCCCACAGTTAGTCAGAATTTTAAAAGCCTCCGTGGTCTCAGCGAATATTTGCTGCTTGAACACACACAGACACAACACCTGAGCCTCGCTGTGACATCACCTGGCGCTGGGGCTCAGCCAATCAGATATCAGAGAGTTGTTTTTCCACTCATTAAGTCGGTTTATCTCCCATGCAGAGGTCATTCTATCATACTGCTGTTATCAGGGTCCAGAAAATGATGTTTGAAGGAAGACTGAACTCTTTCATCCGTCTACAAGGAAATTAAACAGAGAACTAAATTCCTCATAAACACGTGCCGTCCCCCAGAGCCGCTGTGAAGCTCAGTGTGGTCAACTCTGGACGCCATCTTGGCAGTCCTGACTCCGCCAGCTCCTGGCTAATCCAAAAATGGGCAAAGAGGCGGAGCTGAATGAAGCCTGGTTACTGAAAACAGCCGCCAGTGACGGCGCCCACCTGTCACTCAAAGCAGCCACACCCTTAATTATACATAACTTTAACTTCCTGCGTGTCCTGGAAAACCTGGAAATTTAGAGGCTAGTTTTTCAGTCATGGAAACACCTGATGACCAGATATCCTGGGAATTATTATTATGTTATTCAGAGCAGGTTTTTAGTGATCTTTTCAGCATCAGTCTGTTTTTTATGGATCAGAATCTCACAAAAGTGAATGAAAATGTCCTGTTGTGGTTGATGTACAACCAGGTACATGCACAGTGATGTTAACCAGGCTGCACGATATGTTAAATCATATTGCAATTATTTTTGACAGATATTGGGATTCACTGTTGTGTGTACACTCTGTAGCAAACAACAGCTCTACAGTTCTTCATTATAATGCTGTTTGTCACATATTTATACCCTAATTTTGGTAATGTTTTGATTAATTGTGCAGCCATAATGGTAACAACAAACACTTGCTCCTTCTTCTTTTAATGGCTAACAGCTGAGAAGACGAGTTTTCTGTCAAATAAAATAAATTCTACTTAATTTGAACTGTTGTCATGTTACGGTTAAATTAATGCTGCGTCTCTTAAATACTGCAATATCGGAGCTGATACTGCTGAAAATGAATGACTGCATATATCACCAGCACAGTGGGGTTCATAGAAGAAGGAAGAAGGCATACGTTATTAAAGATTAGATTAAATAGACGTTTTTAATCCCACACTGAGATTCACTCGCTACAGCAGCTCCAGATACGACACAGCAGAACAGTATATATATATATATAATAAGAGTTATCTGAGCACTATATGCAGCTCTCTATATACAGATGTGACTGATGTGGAGGCCTCCTCACTTTCCGTCGTATATAGAACGTTATAATGTGCGATCAACCGTTTCTTAGCTGTTGTTTTGCTAACATTCGCTGGCAGATGTAGCTAGCATCAGAGATTAGCTTGTGAGTCATCAACTACTTTCAGTTCAGTTTTATGAATCCCTGTGCGCTCCCAGAGCCCCGCCCCCGCTGTCTGATTCCAGCCCTGTGATTGGCTGACAGGGGGAGGAAGAGACTCAGAGCGCCACATGAATTAAACATCGTCCATCTTTTAGACTCTCAGAGCTCGTTAGCAGGAATAATTACCCAGACAGCGCCGCCTGTCAGAACGGACAAATTAAATCCACAAGGACTGAAGACTCATTTTTATTCATCTGCTCTTTATTGTTCCACAATCTGTCACTTTCTAACTGCGCTACTACACTGTAAAACCTTGTAAGTAATCTCAACTCAAACTTTTTGGTTTTATCAACTCAAACTTTTTCAGCTTATAAAACGTCTGAAGAAAAGCGTTGTTCACTGTGAGCGGGAGGCGAGTGAGAACGCAGAGAAAGAAGAGATGAAATCAGTCAGTATCAGGATGTTTGAATGAGATTTAGCTCAACCAGCTGCAACCTTTGAACATTGTGCTCTTACAGTACATTAAATATTCTGTATTCAACCTTTTTATATTGGCTTTCTAATGCCGGAAATGTTTGGGAAGAGACAGACAGACAGACAGACAGACAGATGGATATAATAGTGTGTGTATGTGTGCAGATATCCCAGAGGACCCTCAGGCTGCAGAAGTTTATTACAACCAGGATGGATTTGATTCCTGCTCAGAGGACGAAGACACAGAGACACTTTATCTGTCAGACCCACAGGTGAGTCCACCTGTCTGTCTGTCTGTCTGTCTGCATTATATGCAAAATGTAGTTTACTTTAGCTTCTAATAAACTATCAAAAGTGTTTGTTTATTTTAATCCAAAGTTCCGGCTCGGCTCGGGCACAGAAACAACAGAACAACTTCTGATGTTCGGGTCTCACATTGGGCTCGGGTCAGATTCCTTTGGCCCCGATCAAAGCTCTGCTCCCATTGGGCCGTATCTCTTACAGAAAATAAAATCTGTGTGTTCACAGCGTTCTTTTTGTATAATATATAAAAAACAACAATTAAGTGAAACATTTTTTCAAGTACAATAAATAAATACACTGTAAATATATATATTGTAAGAAATAGTTTAGATTCTGGCAGCTGGAAAATAAAAGAAAATAACTGACTCTACAGTATTTGTCTATAATTATAATCCAGTTTCTGGCTTTAATTTTACATAATATTTTGTGTATTTTCTTCTGAATGTTTAATTAAAGATATTTACAGTGTAAAACAATGATCTATAAATCCAGGTGAACTCTGCTATAATACAATAATCAGACTTACATTTACAGCAGAGTGCTGTTATTATTGGATTGTTATTATTTTAACGTGAATGTTAAAAGTTATAGAAGTGTAATAAAAGTCATTATCTGTGAGATTACAGTAATTATTGCTGTTTACACTGATAACAACTGTATTTGGACAGTTTACCAATGCTTATACACTGATAAACAACATTTATTCAACTTCCATCATTATACAACATATCTGTCAGTTAACTAACTAATACATTAAAGTTACACAACTAATACTTTTTACTGTTAATGTCACTAATAATAATAATATTTCAGAAATGTATTTGCAGATGTATTTTAATCTTTTTATGTGAAAAAAACTTTTTTCTTTAAATAAGCAGTAATTGATTATTTACAGCTGCAGATTTTTTCACTTATTATATTTTTTATTAATATTTCATATAATATCAGTGAAATAAACAAGAAAAACTGTTTTTTAAAGATTGTTTTTACAGTGAATAATATTATTTGTCATTTTTTGTTTTGTTACTGGGAGAGACTTTAACCAGAAGCTTGTTGTGTTTTTCTTCTGTTTCTATCAGAGTCACTACCTTTTTATTAATATTTGTATTATTTATTAATTTTTTATTTAACAAGGTTCCACTGAAACGTATTTTAATGAATGTTTACTCAGTTGTTTTTATGGGAAAAGCTTTTAAAATGAGTTATTTTAAAACATGAGTGGAAATTACACCTGTGAGCAGAGAGGACGAGTGTGTTTCTATCAGCTCATCCTCATTATCATCCAGCACTGGAACAGCCACATATTATGTATAGCCGCCTAATTAGGGCAGCAGAGTGTAATGTGTGTGTTTGTGTGTATTAGCATTAGCATGGATTAGCATGAAACACACAGACTCTGTAAAGCAGCTTTGGTTTTAGCTGCTGGTTTTATGTGTTTTAATGTGACGTTTGGGCTCAAATTATCATAATATTATTCTCACACACTGAGCTGAGCCCCGTAAGTCCTTTAATTAGAGACTTAAACACAAAGAAGGACGGTGCGTCCTGACCTCCTGTTAACTAAGATACACATTATTAGCAGTTTATTTCCAGAAATGCATGCATGCATTTTTCCAGCTGATTGTTAATATTAACTTAAAGTTCACAAAGCTTGCTCTCTGCAGATAATAAAGAAGTGAGCAATAAAATCTGAGCATTCAAACATTAATCGACCTATAGGGGCCGCCAAAGCTATATACACCAGGCCGATATCTCACCATTTCATTCAGTTCTGTAAAGAAAACCGAACAAAATTGTTATTTTTAAAGTTTATATCATTATTTAAGATCTACATCTGAACATAAGCTACATCCACAGAGCTTCAGTCTCTGATCACCAGCCTCGTCCTGCATTAGAAAACAACCAAAGAGCTGATAGAACAATGAGAAGAAAACACTGAATCTGTCAGAAAAGAGATGATATTTTATAGATATTTCATATTATATTCAACAATAACTTTAGAGAACCACTGATAAACTGTACAATGAACCTAAATAAAATGAGCAATTTTGATTTTAACTAATCAATATCCACAAGAAATAATTTTCTCAAAAAAACATCTAAATCTCTGGTTTCTTCCTTCCTGCAGTTACTGAGTTCACTGTTTGGGTTCATTATCAGCTCTCTGCTGTTATTGTGGATTATTGTGAAGTTTGGGGCAGATTGGACAAAGTATACTGGAGTCATGACAGCTTCCTAGTTTGTGGTGAAAAGTTGACATTCAACGCAACGCCACGGGCATGGCGTTCGATACACAGTCACAAATAGCACCACTTTTAACCACGATGGTCTTTAAAGTGCACTGACCAAATCTGAAGTTGATCTGATCAATTCTGTAGGAGGAGTTTGTTAAACTACGGCGAGTGCTAATTGACCAAAATGACCACCAAAGTAAAAATGGCTGACTTCCCGTTTGGTTTGGAGTATAGGTCCAAGAGGCTTTTTTGTACATATGGCCATGATACATGTGCGTACCAACTTTCATGCATATCGGTAAAACATGCCTTGGGTTGTTTAGGGGGCTTGACTAAGTCATTTTGCCGCGCCCTTATGCGAGAGCCATAGAATACGTACATTTCTACCACCGTCAAATTTAGTGCTGCGTTTCATGAGTTTTGACCAAAAATGTGATTCATTGGGGAACAAAATAACCTATAGGGGCCTCGCAGACGTCACTGCTCTGGGAACCAGAGAGACAGACAGAGAGACAGACAGGGTGTGCAGTCCAGCAGCCTCTCTGTGTTTTGGGCCTCGCAGAGAGTTGGAGGCTGAGGGAGATTAAATCTATTTGTCACTGCTGATACTGAGGACAGAAACAGGAGGAGAGAAGAAGGGAAGAAATGGAGCGAAACTGGATAATTAGTGGAGCTGAGACAGAGAGCGAGCAGATAACAGCCTCCAACACTGAAATACTGTGACTGCTCTGTGGGAACAGCCTTTATAATCTGTATCAGAGCCAAATTAAAGATATATAACACAACAATATTATGTAAGAGTATAATGTTCAATACTCCAGCTCATTAATGTCATTCAACAAATTTGTTTTCCAGACTCGTATTAAAGCTCCAGTGTGAAATATAATATAATGTTCACAAATATGTTTTCATTCGTGTTTAATCACCTGAATATAAGAATCATTGTGTTTTTGTTACCTTGTCCGCCATGTTGAACCACCACGTTTCTACATTAGGATGAATTTTAGCATTTTTTTTAAAGATATTTTCTGTTTTTTAGGATATTTTTTGGTATTGTTTTTTTATTTCGAACAATCAAACATAATCATTCACACTTGTCTCTGTTGTTCTTATACAGCTTGTGTGCATCAGGGTTTAGATATTAATACACTGTAATGTGATGAGTTATTTGAACAAAAAAATGTAAAATAGTTTACATTTAAAATTGTATGTAACACAAACTAATTTTCATTAAGTAGTTTTTACTAGTATTTCTTTTTCCACGATACAAATAGAAAATTACAAATGAGGTCATTGTCACTTAAAATTGCTTAAACTATTCAAGCTGAGCAAGAATGTTTTTTAAGTTACAGAACTGAGTTAGTTTTACTTAAAACTTTAATCAGTGTCAACATTTTTTTAAATAAATTAACTTATGTGGTTTAATAAAAACAGTTTCATATAGTTTTCTTTACAGAAATAAACAAAATGTTGAGATAAAGGTCTGCTGTGAATAAGTTTTCTACCACCTCTTAAAATTAAGAAGACCTTGCGACCCCCTGTGAAATGATCCGACCCCCAGGTTGGGAACCTCTGATCTAGGTGATCTGACAGAGGGGCTGAAATACAAAACACAACAAACATTTTCAGGACAGATTATTTCCAGCATATTTGATCATTTTAATTAATTTCCAAGTGTTTCCATGACTGGAAAACTAGTCTCTGATTTTTCTGATTTTTCTGATTTTTCTGATTTTCCAGGTTTTCCAGGTCCTCTGTATTGGTATCAGATCCAGACAGAGGTGTTTCTGTGGGCATCTCTCTGCTCGACACAACTACTGAACCAACAATAAATATGGTTTTTCATTATGTGTCGCCAGCGGCTCTCCAGCCGGGGATAATAACTGATTCAGGAACATTTATGACTTTAATTTCCGCTGCTGAATGAAATACAGTCACATTATTATGAACTGTGGATATCAGACGACGGCTGCTCTCCAGAGGGTGCACCTTTTAGATTTTAACAGCTTTATTGCTCCAGCGCCACCTTCAAGACAAACCATATATTTTTATTGGTTACACATTAATACAGCACCATGAAACTATGGAGCATCGCAAATAGTTTATTCTCAGGATTTCTTTCCTCAGGTCAGTGAGCTGGAGGCCATGATGAAGCACATGCAGAAGGTTCTGGAAGAGGATCTGAGCGGTGAGTCTGAGAATAAAGTAAAAACACACAGTATATGTACAGTACACACATAAACACAGTGCTCTGCAATGGTCCTATATTTAATTTGGACCATTAGCTCCATGCTACTAACAAGCTCGTTGTTTACAAATGACCCCATCAGCCAACACCACGAAGCAACCAACGCCAGACCCACACCGCGCAGCCAAGACAGCCGGACAACCCCAGCTTAGCTTAGCTACCGTTAGCTAGCTAGGCTAGTAGAAAGCTATTGTTAGCTTTGTACCACTACATCATTTATTTTTTGTCAGAATACATAAGTTAGCATGAGTTTTATTCTGTTTCTGTCCACTTTGAATGAAGTTCTGATGATCTGAAGGTAAAATGAGTGTTTGTGTCTCTGGAGTCTGGTGGAGAGTGATAGTGATATTACGGCTGTTTGTGGTTAAACTAAAGGTCTATCTCTGTAGGGATCCTTTCCATAATGCTGTCAGACACTGACAATAACAACCTGAGTCTGTCAGTGGAACAAACAACAACTACTGTTAGTGGAACAAACAACAACAACTACTGTTAGTGGAACAAACAACAACTACTGTTAGTGGAACAAACAACAACTACTGTCAGTGGAACAAACAACAACTACTGTTAGTGGAACAAACAACAACTACTGTCAGTGGAACAAACAACAACTACTGTTAGTGGAACAAACAACTACTACTGTTAGTGGAACAAACAACTACTACTGTTAGTGGAACAAACAACAACAACTACTGTTAGTGGAACAAACAACAACTCCTGTTAATGGAACAAACAACAACTCCTGTTAGTGGAACAAACAACAACTGCTGTTAGTGGAACAAACAACAACGACTACTGTTAGTCGAACAAACAACTACTGTTAGTGGAACAAACAACAACTACTGTTAGTGGAACAAACAACAACTACTGTTAGTGGAACAAACAACTACTGTTAGTGGAACAAACAACAACTACTGTTAGTGGAACAAACAACAACTACTGTTAGTGGAACAAACAACAACTACTGTTAGTGGAACAAACAACTACTACTGTTAGTGGAACAAACAACAACAACTACTGTTAGTGGAACAAACAACAACAACTACTGTTAGTGGAACAAACAACAACTACTGTTAGTGGAACAAACAACAACTACTGTTAGTGGAACAAACAACAACTACTGTTAGTGGAACAAACAACAACAACTACTGTTAGTGGAACAAACAACAACAACTACTGTTAGTGGAACAAACAACAACTACTGTTAGTGGAACAAACAACAGCTACTGTTAGTGGAACAAACAACAACAACTACTGTTAGTGGAACAAACAACAACAACTACTGTTAGTGGAACAAACAACAACTACTGTTAGTAGAACAAACAACAGCTACTGTTAGTGGAACAAACAACAGCTACTGTTAGTGGAACAAACAACAACAGCTACTGTTAGTGGAACAAACAACAACAGCTACTGTTAGTGGAACAAACAACAACTACTGTTAGTGGAACAAACAGCAGCTACTGTTAGTGGAACAAACAACAGCTACTGTTAGTGGAACAAACAACAGCTACTGTTAGTGGAACAAACAACAACTACTGTTAGTGGAACAAACAGCAGCTACTGTTAGTGGAACAAACAGCAGCTACTGTTAGTGGATACACAATGACGGGTGCAGGATTAAAGTTCGTTTACACATACTCTGTGAATGAAGGATTTATTTCCACCAGACTAGAGTTGGTGATTGTTGGAAAGACAACAGACGGTTTTTGTGAGTTTTTTGGGTTTAATTTAGGTAAAAGTTAGCGGTTAGCTACTGATCAATCTGTCCATCAGAAATTCTGTAAAACATGACTTCCTGTCACTGTTGGACAGATACTGGAGGAGACTCTTATAAAACAGAATAAAAACTCTTAAAGTTTGACTTCATGAGGATTTTAAACCTTTGGCCAGAAATCTAGTTGAGTCTGATTGAGGTGAATGTGGGGGTGAGGTTTTTTCGTGCAGGACTGCAGCTTTAATCAGCCTGTCCTTCCTGCGGAGACAAATGTTAATGAGTGAATGTTTATCCCTGCAGTCCTTTCCGTCTCTGTCCTTTTACTGTATGTTGTTCTACCTCCTCCTGCTCTCAGTCCTCAGTTCCTGTTGGCTCAGTTCAGTCACAATCTGTTCGTCTCGCCCCGCTGACCTCAGAGTAGAAAACACCTCGACAGCTCAGCTGAAGATGAAACTGTAGTTTGTTCTCTCGTCCTATCGAAGGAAACACAGCGACTTCTCCTGCCGCTTCATCACACACACAAACGTCTGTAACAGTTTGACGTTTGTTCTGTTTTCTGTCATAAATCTGAAATAAAGACGTGAATCTAACGTTCAGACACATTTATTATATTTATTACCACATACTGCTGGTATTGTTATCTTATAGGAGGACCACAGCACAGTATTGTAATGAAAATAATAATCATATTATACTGACATAATGTCACAGGCAGGAGGGAAGGGCCGGCCCTGATTTAAAGCTTTCTGCTTCAGTTTTTTACATTTTTAGATAAAATGTGAGATTGAAAATGAAAACACATCGATATGAACGAGAGCTTCTTTATTTGTATTTATTCATGAATGTGCTCAATGAGCCTGAGCAATGATTATTATATTTACAATAAACTACTGTAACTGTAATTCAAGTTATAGTATATACACTGTAAAATATGTCACACTCACAGTTGACGGTAAAGAGGGGGTTGTTCCAACAAGCTGGGAAATAACAAAGTAAGAAATAATTTTAACGTGTAAAGTTTCCCAAATTTCCAAATAATGGACCATGTATAGTAGAGAACGTTTCACAAAGTTTATAAAGTGGGTCCTCACTCAACTCTAAAATTGTGTGATTTTTTTAATGGAGTCTGGTGGTATTGGGGTTACTAGTTCAACAGTTTGTTCTCTGCAGCTAAAAGAGCTCTAACAGTGAATAGTGTTCAGGACTTGGTGGTGGATCGGTGCTGTGGATGAAAAGAAAGAAAAACAAACACATCAGTCACATCAGTTAATGAACAAAAATGACCGTTTACATCCACAGATGGCAACCCGCTCACGCTCCTGCTCGATCAGTGTCCCTCCGCCTCATAATACCACGCTGTGGGCGACGGTGGACTTATTGTTCCCTCGAGGAATCAGAGTAACAGACCGCATCCTCCACAGTAAACAGCCGTTCAATCCTCCGTTACTGAATGGACAAAAGAGCTAGAGCAGCTCAGAGGCCATTATCCTGATTTACTGTGCGGTTATTAGCTGTTAAACAGCAGCTCAGAGTCGCCCTGTACTGCGTCGGTGCTCCTGTCCAAACACTAACAGCATCACGTATGTTTTTATTCAGCTGATCAGAATCAGTTCACTGCGGAGAGAACCATGTCGACAACATCGACTAATAAACGCTGGAATTTATGGAGAAAATGTCGAAGAAATAACTGTTGAAACACAGAAAGAAGTTAAAGTTGAGGGTGAAGTGGCAGCCAACTACTGACAGTGCCAAAAGAAGTTTCAGAGAGCAGAGAGATAACAATTATATGAAATATAATTTGACAGTATTCATATATATTCATATATTCATATAACAAGACTAGCTAGTTATCAACCAGGTCATTGTCCCTAAAATATAAGATTTTCAATAACGATAGATCGTGTGTACTGACGGCCGCAGCCTGAGGTAGCAAGTTGAACAGCCAATGGAATGCAAGTATCAGCGAGTTCAGAGGATGAAGGACGGCTCTGAATGAAAAGAAAATGCGAATATTTCATAAATATATTGGACAGCACTGTTTATGTCACTCATTTAAAATGGTGTCCAATCAGAATTTGTTATGGCAACTTTAGGGAGTTTAATGATCCCCAAAGACCGGTGAGCTCGTTAGCATTCAGAATGTCTGATAATCAAGAGTCTCGTTAAGACTCTGAGCTCATTAAGACTCCGAACCTGCTGAGACTCTCAATGTCTTTAACTCATATTAGCAGCTTTTGCTTTATAACGTATATCATTTAGAAATGTGTGTTTAGATCCATTATAATCCCATCAGATCAACTGAGCTGCTCGAGCGGAGAGAGGCCGAGTCTGAAAACACTTTAAATCAAATGTGAAACATGTGATGATATTCTGTCGTCTGTAATCCAGGAGACCCAGCAGAGCCCGAGGTCCCTCTGAGCCCTCGAGGCCCCCCGACGATCAATGGCAGCCTGCTGGAGACCAGAATCCAACACCTGAGAGAGTGAGTCTGAGACAGGCTTTTATTTTGTAGTTTAAGTATTCGGATGCTTTGATGTCTCCTTCCTTCATTCTGTGTTTTGCTTTCAGTGTTTTATAATTTATTTTATTGTCCCTGCGGGGAGAGTTGTTTCTAAACTGTTTGGTTTTAGAAAGTAGAAAAAATAATGCAGGAAGATCCAACCTGTTCCGAAAACTGTAACGACAGACGAAGGTTTCAGTCGATTTGTGAGCGCGTCGGACACAACGTGAGGTCATATTCGTTTAGACGTGGTGTGTAAAGGTCTTTAGCGGTGAGTTAAGTGGAGACGTTTTATGGACAGTGTGAGTTTTATTTGCATCAAACAGGATAAAACCGAAGAACTCATGCTCTTATATGTCTGAAATATGAACAGATATTTCTCTTATTTTAACCACAGTCGACGTGGATCTTTCTTTCCCATCCTAAAATTGACTTTAAGGTCGTCTTGTCCCAAGTTTTACTCAACAGTCCCAACAAGTTTCATCTCTTTGTTTGCACCTTGGCCTCTAGGTGAGACTCTAACTCCACTTTCTTCTCCTGTAGACAAAGTTTTCTCTTCCCATCTGAGGAATCAGCTCAGGCTGAGGCTCTGTGAGAGTTTAATTTAAAAATAATCCAATTATTCCAGACAAACATTCTCGCCCGCAGCCGCGGCGCGGATCAGAGCGTGATATGAAACAGATTCAGTTTGTTTGTGCAGATTAAAATGAACGTAAAACCAGAGAAAACAAACCCACACAGAGAAGAAACAGTAATAAGAAACAAAGATCTTTTAATAAGATCTTCAGTCTGCAGAGAGATTTAACATGGAGACAAACATTACAGTAGGCAGTCGGGTGGAGGACAAACACTCAGCTGCTCTAACAGATTTATCTAATGAGGGCACACCCAGGTTCTTCAGCAGATGGATCCACAAATCATCCTGTTCTTCCTCCAACCAACAGTGGATGTGGTATAAGTGCTACGTATCTCTTGCTCTCTACCTTCTGTCCATTACGTATCAGATCACTGTACAAAAAATAAGTAAAAAAAAAATAATAACAGAAAATAACTGACTAAAATAAAAAGCTTTTTAATGTTTAAGATATTTACACATGTAAAAACAATTGGTATAAGCATTGGTAAACTGTCAAAATGCAGTGTCTATCACTGAAAACAGCAATAATTACTGTATTCATTAGTTTTATAACTTTTAATTTTCAGATTTAAATAAGAAAAATCTAATAATAACAGCACTCTTCTGTACATTTAAGCCTGATTATTTGTATTATAGCAGAGTTCACCTGTATTTATAGCTCATTGCGCTGTTTTTACAATGTAAATATCTTTAAACATTCAAAAGTAAAAAAAAAAATTTAAACTAAAACTAAAACGTAATTTTAATTATAGAAATGTGTTTAGTGTTGTGTGAGCAGTAAAAGCTGTACAAGTTGAAACAGACGGTGATTAGTGGGAACTCAATTCAATTTAATTTGATTTGAATAGCGCCAATTCATAACAGCAGTTATCTCAGGACACTGAACTCTTACAACATTATTTACAGAGACCCAACAGTACCACCATGAGCAAGACCTTTGCAACGGGGGTGAGGAACAACTGCCTTTTAAGAGGCAGAAACCTAGGACAGACCATTCGGCTCTAGGTGGGTGGGAGAGAGAGAGAGAGAGAGAGAGAGAGAGAGAGAGAGAGAGAGAGAGGGAGAGAGAGACAGACAGACAGGTGCACAGCAACAACAGTAGCAACAACTATACTAATAGTAGTGACTGATGATGATGTGACTTTTTTGGTCATCTGGAGATGAAGGCAGAACTATACCTTTCACACAAACAGGCATCCCAAAGTTCTTCACATAGTAACAACACGTACAAACAACGTGAACGACCGTACATAAAATCAATACAATGACAACAATAAAATATAACTAAAAATACACACCAGGGAGACAACTAATGTAAAAACCAAAGATTAAAACTTCCCTTTTAAAAACGCTGAGAGAGCTTGTTATTCTGATATAAAAACGTTTCTGGGATTCACATATTGAATTAGGCCATATTGTGATTCTGATTTAAATGAACTGTGCAGCCGTAATGCAGACTTTTACATCGTCTGGTTTCACCTCACAGACGACGAAGGAAGGCATTATAACCTGATGTAGCCTAAAACACGAGACTCAGGCAGCCACATTTCCACTGCAGGAACTGCTGAGAGGAGTTAGTGTGACGCTGATCTGAGAAATCATTGACACGCACAGCAACTGCTGATAAATTCAGTTTTTATTTTTCATTCAGTTTCTGTAGACGTAGTAATCAGTGCAGACCTGCCGCTCTCCTCTGATTGGCTGCTGGTGGTAGGGTCATGTGATCAGTCGGGGCTACAGGGGTTGATGAAACCGAGACAAACCTGGTGCTCCCTGGTTCGACCGGGGTCAGTTCGTTACCATGGCAATAGCATCAGACACACACACACACACACACACACACACACACACACACACACACACACACATACATACACACACACACACACACACACAGCTGCTCTGTGTGGGAATTAAAGGCCTGTTTAGTTTCAGCTGCATTGTGTTTGGTTCCTTCATGTTCTCACATGTTCTTATAAAGAAAATATCTGGGACCTGTTAGCATTAGCCTCAGTATATTAGCATGATTAAATAAATTAAGTAAATATGTGGAAGCAAACAGGACTCTGATTTCTAGTAAAAACATCTTCACAACTCAGTCAAGCAACATTTTGTGTCATCGCTGACAGCTGTGGAGTCACACTATCGTTGTAAAAACGTATTCATAACACAGTAACTGCGATGTTGAAGAGAGCTTTGACTTTGACGGCTGCTGATGTTTATATCCTAAAATCAACCTGGAACATAAAGACAAATCATTTCTCCAAGTTTTTCCTGCATCTACGATCAACCTTCAGTCTGCGGAGGAAAGGGAAGGAAGATGGTGATGGTGTTGTCAGCTGACCTGAGAGCTGCTGTCAGTCACACTGAGAAGAAGAAAAAAAAACACCAGTTTACCTGCTGACAGGAGTTGAAACACAGTCACACACCTGTGACGGACTGAGATAAACAGGAAGGAAGTCAGCCGTCCTGAGCACTACCCTGTCAGTCATACCACCTCTCCAAGGAAGAGGAGGAGGACGAGGACGAGGAGGAGTGGAGTGAAACAGCCCTAACATCTTCAGATATTTAGTCGAAGGTCAAAACTACTGAAATGTTTTAAACTTACTGCTGGAAGAAAACACACACACACACATTCATGTATTTCTATCCTCATGAGGTCCTTTATTATGACCTTCATTGTGAGGACGCTGTTGAAAAGTGAGGACATGGTTAAAATTAGGTTTAAAGTCCCCATTAATTTAAAATCAAGCAGAACTCTGCTTCCTGTTTCACGGGGACTTTCAAGTTGCCAGTTATTATGTCAGTAATCAAGTAGAGAAACACATCCACATATATCTTCGTCCTCCCTACCGAGCTGTCACTCAAACATAAACCAGACGACCTGTTGCTGTGAATCAATCAGAGTTCTTCTTAAAATTCAGTCTGAACTGAAATCCAGCTGAGAGTCTCATTCAGTCTGACTGTCAATCCCTGTCTGTGTGACTGGTATTAAGTGTGCCAGATAGGGGGTCAAAACAGAGCTTTTATTTCTTCATGAAGTTTTACAGAAAGAAATCTTTTTACAGTGAAGCAGAAAGTCTGATTGATCCAACAGACCACCTGTTGGGGTGTGTGGACTTTCGTTATGTTGATTAACCAGAGCGTGTCCTCCTTGCAGGTCTGTCCGCAGCCGCCTGGGCTCAGACGTCTTCCAGAAGCTGTATGAGAACCTGAAAGAGGCCAGGTGGCGGTGGCGGCACGATGGTGATGACAGCGTCACAGAGTCTCTGAGACACCTGGAGGAGCAACCAGATGCTGGTTTCCAGGTGGACCAGCTGCTGTTCTATGAAGAAGAGCTGCAGAGAGTGAGACATCTCCAGGAGGGAAGACCGCCTGTCTGACAGCAAGGAAAATTTTTATATACATATATATATATATATATATATTTATTTTTTAATTGCAAATATAAGCAGTTTGAATCCAACTAAAAGCTCCATGCACCAAACTCCCTTTAAGAAATATCACATTTTAACAATTCCTAACGTGTCCATAACAACACGTGACTAGAAACAGGAGCCAAAGGCCGTCATATGTCCACAGTCTGACTGTCAATACATGATCAATATCATCCATAAAGATACAGTGTATACTGATCAATATCATCCATAAAGATACAGTATATTCTGTACAAACTGGCTTATAATTTTAAGGTTAAAAACTTGGATCGACTGTTTACAACAGACACAGAAACACAAGAAGAAATGTTGCTGTTTGTCTTCCAGAATAATATAATTTTGTCCATAATATCTATAATGTATTTATAGTTAACACACAGGAACTAGAACCAGGCTACTATGCGATTGTCTTTGGGAGTGCAATATATGTAAAGAAGTTTGTCGATAGTAGCAACAACTGTTACAGTTGTATAACTGGACTATATATTGGATGTTAATAATAATAATTATAATAATAATTATAAACAAAGTGCCTACGTGGCCGGAAACAATATAAGCAACATTTCAGGAGGCAAAAATAAAGAAAGAGAACTGAAATCATGTAGAATTTTTAAATAAATTGAAGAGAGGCAAAAACAACTTCCTACTGCGGCTGCGTTTTATGGTTTTAAGTCTAATCGGGAAGAAACAAAGCACATGGAGGCCGAGTGGACCTGATCCTCATATACGACGTTAAAGAGGTTTTTTTTCTAAACTGAGGTTGCTGTCAAATATTACGCCCAGGGTTTCTGCCTGCAGGTTCGCTATCTGAAGACAGGCCTTGGGGACCCTGGAGAAGGTTATGGGACATCCAGCACACAATTTCTGGTCTTGTCACCAACACTGAATCTTGTAGGAACTAAGTGCAGTTTGGTATGAAGATAACTATGCTCTGGTGACCAGATGAATAATGTTTGTGGACCAATTACACTCTGTACGTGGAATTATTGTTACTATTTTCTTTTTGAAAATCAATAAAAAAAATGAATGAGATGAAGTATATTAGTAGAAACTTACTCGTATATCATAAACATTTTCAAACCTCTAGCCAGAAAAAAAGCCTGGAAATCCTGCAGACATTCGCTAAAATACATCCTTAAAAATACTTAATGGAGAAAAACTGCAGAATCTGATGCATAAGAGTTTTATTAGAGTTAACACACCAACACAATATAACTGAGTATGTGATTTTAAAGGATAAAATTACATTTTTCATTTCACCATGACTTCAAAAGGACTCTCTCTTTAAGAGGTTATATCACTGTGTTTAAGGATTCTTCTTTTCTTACAGTTTAACACAGCAAATAGAATTATATTCAAATTGTGAATGAATTTACTAATTTCAGTTGTATTTTTAGCTCATTGTGTTGATCAGCAGCAGTTACAGATGTGAAATGTGGAGCAGGACATGGCTGACGTGGTTCCTGACAGCGTGATGGAGCTTCCTGCTGAGCGTCGCGGTGGATCAGCAGCGGTTTGAGTCGAGGTCTCAGAACGACACATGATCTTTGTTTCATCTGAAACTAATCCTGTTTTTACAGCCTGAACCTTCAGTTCTGCTAAATATTCAGTCGAAACAGTCGACAGTGAGACATTTCTCAGACACTGACTGTAAAATAAAACTCCATCCTCTGCTGTTTTTATTCATATTCAGAGACTGGAACCTTCCTCGAGTTGTGTCCCAGCTATTGTTATTAATTAATTAATTAATTAATTAATTTTTTTTTTAAAGCGCAAAATAAAAAAAAAAATTTTTCAAAAATTTAAAAAAAGAGGTTTTTTATTATTATTATTATTATTTCTGTACGGCTGAATGTGACACTAGGGCAGCGGTTCCCAACTTAAATTGTGTGTCCATCTCTACTTTCAATGAACTTTGTCCTTGTCCTCTTATCATTTATTTTCCAGCTCTGTGGTGTGAATATTCAGCCGTTAAACGACTGTCAGACAACTCCACTGATTAAAATTTAATTAGCAGGAAGTCAGTAAATGCTAATGAGACCTCGCTGATGTGAGGAGGTTCATCAACAAAGAAATGAAGATCATCGCTCAGAGAGAAGTTAACGCTGACCCGAAACGATCTATTAAAGCGAGAAAATGAAATAAAATGACTACAGACAGAGAATTTATTCTAATCGAACAGACCAGAAGGATTATTCCAGATGGAGGGACGACTTCAGGAAGTGAGGCTCAGATAAATCAAATCTTTATATGAAATCAGGTCAAAGAAAGGGCTTCCAGTGTTGTCATTCAGGTGTCATTGTTCTTTTAGCTGCTCTCACAGTGCTGACGTTCATTGGATCAGTACAACAAACTGACGCTGGGATGCCAGGAGCCAAACCCAGCAAGAAAACCATTTAAAAGAAATAATAAACGTCACAAGATCCACCGTTTTTAATTTTTTTGGCCCCTTTTTTAAAAATTTTTTTAAAACCCCGCCCTTTTTTGGGGGAAAAATTAACAACTTTTTTTTTTAAAAAATATATAAAAAAAAAAAAAAAAAAAAAAAAAAAAAAAAAATTTTTTTTAGGCAGGAGATCAGCAGCTGGACCTTCTTATCCCACATTACTATAGACGATAGTGCACGATTGATCATGAAAGCCTGCCTAGGGGCAGCACCCAACAAAGGGGCAGCACCCAAACGAGGGGCAGCACCCAGCGCTTGTGAACAACGCTTTGTCCTCTTGTCAATGTGTTTTGGACAGCTTCAGTGGCTTCAAATTAGCTTTAACGAGGTGTAAGTAAAGTGTTGATGGTGCCTCATCAGGGAAAGTTGTAAAAAGTTACTTTGAATGTCTTGGAGCAGCTTTAACCCAGCAGTGTTTCTCTGCTTTACAACACAAAGCCTTTTCTCTAAGAGACAATTACACTTTAACTTTCTCTCTCCATCTGTTGGAGCTCAGTAAAGCGACAACATTTCCTCTGAGCTCGAGTCGTGTTGTTGGGTCTGTGTCACGGCTCTGTGGAGCTCAGCAGGCAGAGCGAAGCTGTAACCCTGCCAGAGGTTTGGGGTTTAAATCCCACTGGGAGCTGGTTTGGATGACAGGTTCAACTGAACAACAGATGTTTCTTGCTTTTAACAGCAGAAAATCCTCCCAGCAGCAGAGACGAGTTAAAGCTGCTCCTGTTTGTCAAACAGCAACTAACACGACTTGCAAACATAGAGATGCTTAAAACTCGAAAACTAGATTTATGATTAAAACTGTGTACAAAGACAGAAATATACATGATATTTATATATATTTATAAAGCCTGATACGCCTGATTCTGTACATAAATCTCAATCTTTGTGGAAACAAGCTCAACATCCGTTTGAATATAGTATGAGAGCAGCTGTCATTACACACTGATGTGGCTGTTTATAGCACCTGGACCACTAACTCATCACTTGCGCCTGTAAACCACCATCACCTTCATATTTCAATCATTATTAAACAAGCATGATCAATGATTAATCATACAGCTCAAATTGAAACAGACAAACGTTAGCTGACCTAGTAATCGGGTGGCAGGAGCCAAAAAATGTTGTTTATACATCTGGCCCCAGAAGTCAGAGGAGATTTGAAGAAACTCTGTTTTGTTTCCTTTTTAAAGGACCAAATACACGAGTGAATAGCGTCGGACAAGAAGACGCTCTTGGTGGGATTAGAAGACGCAGCGTCATTGAGACGTGTCCGGTAGAATTTCAGCGTCAGTGTCTCACCTGTGGACACAAACCTGAGTTAGAAACTGCGGCTGCACTGAGAAGCCAGTTGAAGTGTGTATTAATATATTATTTTATAGATAATATTTTTAACCTCCAAACTAAACCAAACTCCGACTGGAAAACCTGGGTTTCCTCAGAAAGTCTTTAAACTTGGGGTCAAGAAAGAAAAACAGATGAGCAACAGATAATGAGTTTATGGCTCCTGTATCGGTATGTTTTTATGAACGCAGTGAGACTTAATGAAATATCTTCCACACATTAAACTGCAGCTGAAGTTTGAGAGTTTCTGACCCACGTTAGAACTAAAAAAATCACAAAGCGTCAAAGTGGATTTCATGTTTTGGCTCTCCAGGAGGTCCAACGATAATAATCAGCACAGTCGACCCGAGTGTGTTCATTAAAACTCACTGTAACTCACCTGAGGACGAGAACAAACTCCTCTGGCAGCTGCTGTAATCACAGTGTGTGTGAACAGTATAGATCTGAGTGCTTATGAACAAACAGCAGGAGGTTATTGCTGCGGGGTCTCCGGAGTGAAGATGTGTAAACCAGCCGATAAATGGACTTTTCAAAATAAAAGCGTCTGACTGGTGTTTGTGGGACAAACAAAGAACTGGCAGCTCGTTAAGTTTGATCAGCAGCACACACATACACACACACCACACACACACACACACACACACACACACAAACAGAGGCAGGGTTCCCACGCATCTCGGAAAACCTGGAAATTTAGAGACCTGAAAATGTATTAAAATGACCAAATATCCAGGAAATAATCTCATAGGAAACTGTGCTGTGGCCACATTAATGACCACAGTGAATTCAGAAAGTGGAAACTCGCTACTGAGAGACCCTCAACCTTCACTGATTATCATAATCAAAGGATTATTGTGTAGGTTTTCATATACGAAGAATTAGCTTTGGTTTGTTGGTTCATGACAATAAACAACAAGAAAAATATAAATCAAGAAGCATAATGAGGAAAATGTATAATATATGAAAGAATATAACACCAATATGTAGAATATGAATTTTAAATGGAAGCTGTACAGTTAGTGCAGTATTAACTCTATAAAGTCTAAATAAATTATGTAACTGAAGATGAAAACTGATCTTCTGAAACTTTATTAGAAATCTGAGAGGAGGGAAAAATAAATCGCTTTCATAAAGGAGTCAGAGCAGCAGCAGATCTCATCATCAAAATATCTGCATGTTACATCTGCCTGTCTGCAGCTGCACAATATTTCAGGTTTCAGTCTGAGCTGTTTCAGATGGAGAAACTTTGTCTTTGTGTTGTCTAAATCTGTTGAAATAAACTCACATTAATAAATGTGTCTGTGTGATGGGTCAACTGTTCTCTAGCATGTATTTGCTTCTGCAGATAATAAACAATAAAGAACATTAATTTCCTTCTGGTCTGTTTGTCCACAGCAATTCAAAACGACACGTTTCCTTTAAAATACATACAGATAAATAGATTTGTACATTACAGTATGCATTTAACTCAGTGTGCACAGTACTTACCTGTTACAACTTACCAGAAAACATTTAATTATAATAACAAGTCTCCCAAACCATGACGAACTGTATACAACAGGTTAAACAGTGACAGCTGCTGGACAAAGTAAAAAAGTGCGTAAACAGAAACAAAAGCAAAAGACAATAAAGCACATTCATTTCCTTCTGCTCCTTAACATGCAAAACTACAGATTTACACAAGAAATAGATATAGACACATGTACGTTAGCAACCCTGTAACAGCATGTAATTATTATATCACCAGTAAACAATACTGAGCTGTTTAAGTTGTAACCTCTGTTGCATATTGCACAGCAGCATTTTCCACACAACTTACCCTCAGCAACACTGTGAGGGGAAGCCCAGGAGGTACAGAACGGGCAATGGTCAGAAAACTGAAGGAAAAAAACCAAAATAACAGGAAATAATAAATCAATGAGATAAAATTCACAAACAATGAAAATGAGAATAAAGCGCATTTTTAAACTTTGTTACATCAGCAGCTTGTTATTTATTTGAATATTAAAATATTATAAAAAGATATATAGATAATATTTTTTGTCAGGCAGACAATGAACCAAACAGAATGTAAAAATGTGAGTTTAATGTTTTGTACAATTTACTGATTAAAAGTGTCTAGTCCGAAGAGAGATCATGTTGTAGAAATAACCTGTACGCAGACGACAGGTTTACTTATTTTTATGTTTAACAATCCACAAACCTTTGTTCTGTTCGGTCTGTCACTCAACGCAATATCTCCCTTTGT